TTTGTTCATTCTGATTTTTTTTTTTCGGCGTGGAGTTCTCCTTTAACCACTTCCTGGCCAGGCCATTTTTCCGTATTCAGCGCTGCGGTACTTTGACTGACGTTTATTCCGTCATGCAGCGCTGTACTGAAACGAATTTTATACCATTTTCTGGGGACAGATAGCGCTTTCTGTTGGTGGTATTTATTCACCACTGGGGGGTTTATTTTTTTACTGTATAATACAAAAAGTAACGAAAATTTTGAAAAAAAACCCTGTTCTCCCTACGTTATGTTATAAAACATTTATTATTACCCAATTTTTTGGTAAAATATAAAATACGGGGTCACGTCGGGTAAATAGACACCAAACATGTCAAGCTTTAAAATTGCGCGCACCCGCGAAATCGCAAAAAACTACCATACCCAAAATTTACCATAGCCGACGCTTTAAAAGCTTACCACTCATCAGTTTAGTGTTATCAGTGATTGATGTCCCGAGACTTATTGCTCTCATGCCGACGTTCGCGGCGATATGTAACATGTGCGGCGCAATGGATGTAATCGGCGTTTTCGCACGTAGGCGGGCTTGACGCATGTTTGTGGGGGCGGGGGACTTACATTTTTTTTTTTATTGCTTTGATATGTGATTTTTTTTTTTTTTTTGTAACAAATTTTTTTAAACCTTTTTTTTTCCCCACTGAACTTTATTGCTATCACATAGGGAGCAAGCAAGCTCCCTATGTGATAGCCAATTTGCAGTGACAGGTTCTCTTTATGGAGACATCAGGGGTCTTAAGACCCCTAATGTCACCTAGGGACCCCCAGAGAAGCTGCTGAGACCTGCTTCACCAGCTTCTCTCCGGTTTCTGTACCAGAGAGTGACACTGAATGCAGGAAGTGATGTAATACACATCACTTCCTGCATTCCGAAGAGGAGGAGATCAGAGGGAGCTCGTGTACTGAGCTGCATTTGATGTCCGGCCGCAGAGCTGCTGTGCTGGTCCCGGGCTCACACCGGGAACAGCGGAGCCCGGGATCGCCAGCAGCGGCGGCGACGACGGAGGGGGTGGGGGCCCGCACACCCGACCCGATATACACACGCCCGAACGCTTGTATGTAAACAGCCATCGCTGGATGTTTACATTCAAAGCCGGTTTCCCGAACGGGATAGGGTCTAAAGACGCCCACCCGCCCTGGTATCTGTGCACAGAGATCAGTTCTCCGTACAGCACATTGCGCTGACCCCTCCACAGATGTCCTACCGTGTGTATGAGGAGCTCTGGCAGGTGACGGCACGGATCAATGCCAGCAGATTAAACCGCCTCTCGTGTGTGTGTGTGTGTGTGTGTGACATTCTGCTGAGTCTGGTCAATCCAACTCCCAATTAAGATTGTCTGCTGTAGAAGGTTGCGAGATAAGGAGATTGGATTCGTCTCGTGTGTCCTTGCCGCTACAATCTCCTCCGTGGTTGTCACTGTCATGTTTAACTTTCACTTGTCCCATGGGCTGGAACGCTCTATAATTGAAGCTCCGTAGCTCCCCACTGGCCATACCACGGAGGGAGAAGTCATATGTCTACCCTCTTCTAGTACTGATGTATAAAGAGGACCTGTCCTCTATAGCCAACTCCCCGCGGCCTCTTCAAATGTTTGCTATGTTTCAGTGAATAGGATTGAGACCAAAATGTCTTTGGCATAGCTGGGATTGGGTTCCCCCTCTGATGCCATCAATGTCCGTGCATTGGTCACATGGTTTCTGTCAAAGAGGAGTGATGGTTGGGCATAGCTGGCAACTCAATGGCTCTGCCAGAGCAGTGATTCACGCCCGTGGTTCCTGTTCTCGGTTAGTATGGTTCTGTGATTGGGAGTTACCAGGGAAAAAAACTGAATGTTATCTAGGTGGAGCTTGGTGGGCTTATGTAGCCCCTGGCTTTTTTTGGTTTGCATAACCCCCCTACCAAAAACCAGCTTGGGTGGACTAACTCGCCATTGGACATAATACACAAAAGCCCTCTTCTCCTTCTGAGCTTGCTGTCTTTCTTTCTCCACCCACCACCACGATTGCATACCTCACCTGGAAACCACCTGCATGACATAGGTGATGAGAAAGTGTATCTAAAGCCAACTTAAAGTGTATTTAAAGTGACATTAAACCCTGAGATTTTTTAACATAAACCAATACTGTAATGTGCGCCTTACTGTAATCCATGGTAGTTTCCCTTCTCTTTGCTGCTCTTCCTTTTAAATCCTCATGTCTTCCTCATGCTGGGGGGAGAACTTCCCTTTGCAGCTGAGTGCCTCTTCCTGTAGTGCTGGCTCAGTTTGTGAACCTTCACACAGACACCATGTATCCATTCCTGAGACAAGGCAGTCTGCAAAACAGAAGTTCTGCCCCAGCATGAGAAGAGATGAGGATTTAAAAGGAAGAGCAGCAAAGAGAAGGGAAACTACCATGGATTACAGTAAGGCGCACATTACAGTATTGGTTTATGTTAAAAAATCTGAGGGTTTAATGTCACTTTAACCCCAAAAACATACATGTAACATTTTGCAGCTTGCCAGTCCTTAGATGGGGCGGCTGCATTCGTTTTCTTTTTTCAGCTTCCCCCACCTTTATTCTTCTCCTGGTGATCCCGCCAGTAACGCACTTCCTGTCTTACAGACACAACTCTCACTCAGCGTACTGAATCTAGGTCGGAGCAGCGTTGTCACCCTCGGACAGGAAATGTGTTACCACTACAGAACACCTCCCCCCATCCCTACAACGTAGGGCTGATAACACTGCTTGAGATATGAATGCAGCGGAGAAGAGGAGAGAGCAGCATACTGGATTTCTGGCAGATTCAACAGGTATTTCTTTTTCTGTATTTGCAGCATTTTAAAAGAGACAGAACACAGGCACAATGTGCGGTTATTGTAAAGATGTACTGAATGTATTTTTTATTTTAGTAAACAAACTTTACATTTCTGGAGCACTCTGGTCAGTGGGGGAGTGCAGCTGGTCTTTTCCTTAAAATGAAAACACTGGTAACTTTATTAATCTGGACAACATGAACAGAAAATCTCCACCTGGACCTCCTCCTCCGCTGACGTCTTTTATCACAAGGCCGGGCCTAAGTCGTAGAGGTCACCTTGTGATTGATGAAAAAGTTATACTCCCCTGAAACTTGGAGCTGGCTGGCTCCTAGACTGCTCCCTCCAGCCTGTTTCCTATGCTGCAGCGATGGTATGTCCCTCGGCATCCTTATATCCTATACACAGTATATTAGATGTGGTTATT